AGGGAGTAAGTTAGGTATTTAGAGCTCTTATTGGCTACGTGTGTCAGACTTTTTGTCTAATTTGTTTTTACAGTTAAGTGGACCAGTAGTTAAACAGTTGTGTGACATAATTGGCAAGCTGCTTGACAGGACTTGAGTGCTTCAGCTTCTGTGAAGCTTTAAGTATGTCCTTTTAAATGTCCTAGTATATACAGCACTTTATCTGGTCATGTGAGAAAGCTGACACTTTGCTGTAATGCAGCAGCATGCAAACTAATCAGCTCACGCTTTTTATTTCCCCACTGTAAATATTTATAGGAAAGGGTATAAGAAAAAGGTAGTAACTGATTTAAAAGTAATTTTTATTCTAAGAGTCAAAAGATCATAGCCTTTTTATTTTATTTTGAATTTGGAAAGTGGTTTTTTTTGTACTAAAAAATGATTTTTGTTCACTGCTGTGAGAATCTTACTTAAAAGTTATTTTTATTCTATTACCTTGTCAAGGCTTACATATTTGACTAGTTCCTCTACAGTTTAATAAACAATTTCTCAAAGAAGAAATGCTTTAATGTAATCTTAAGGGGAACCTTAAGTATCCTTAAGAGTACTGCTACCGATTAAAGTATTAGAAAAATAAAACTGTTTAAAGCCTCTGTATGTATACAATTTATACAAGTATACAATTCAATGGAAAATGAGAAATGACAAGTCTGATTTCCATTTCTCCTTGCACTGTTGATGACAACTTTAATTCGTATAAAATTTCCACAAAAAGATAAGTTTGAGGAGTCAATATTTTTCATAGTGAGAGTTTGTATGAAAAGATTCAACAACTAGGTTAGAAATAGACGACTTGTGAGAACAGATTCAAGCTGCTGTATTAGTTATAATTGTTTTAGGTATATGATCAGATTTTTGTGCTGTGGTTTATTACAACTAATGTTTGTCAATTTGAAAACTAGTATTGGAGCTTGCAGGATTTTTTCCAGGTTTCTAATCAGTAAAATTGAACTGCCAGGCCTTTTTGTAAACCCTTTTATTTTTATTTTGTTGTAGATGAAGCTGTTTGCTTTATTTGTTAAAAACTCTTGGACAAGTTGTCCATGATCTAGAAGGGCATCTCGTGTTTTTATAAAGGAAACAAGCTTCTCTCCATACAATACCTCGTCTAGCTCATATACCTCTAAAGATAAAATATTTTCAGTTAAAAATCCTGTTCTTGGAGAGGGGGAGGAGGGAAGCTGTAAATTGTCACTTGGAGTACCAGAGTAGCGGTCAATATACATGTGTTAATGAGTCAGTGCTTAAGTGTGTGTGTGTGCGTGCGCGTGCGTGTGTGTGTGTCAGTTAATGCACAGTTCCTGCACCCTTTGCCAAGGGATAATCTTTGCTGGGGTATGAGAGGACAAGGCTGTGGGCAGCGTGGATCACAGCCAACAGCAATTGCTGCTGTCAAATGGGCCCTGCCCTGCATTTTGTGTTACCTCAAATTGAAGATTGCAGCTTTCCACATTATGCAGGGATAAGCCATAGATTTAGGAACTCCATAGGTTGTATTTAGTCCCTGCTTTTCAAGATTTAGCAGGGAATTTAGTTGAGAATGCCTCCCCCCCCCCCCCCCCCCCSCTTATAGCAGCTTTTTAACGGGAGGGAAGGGATATGAACATTAGCTTATTTTAAGTGTTCAATTGTGGTTTTAGGGAGAAAGGATACAGGTTAGCATAGTGTTACCCAAAATGCTTGCAGTGAACATGGCAGTTTGCCTTTTGGTACTGAAATAGTGACTGTTGCTGTCAGAGACTGCTGCCCGTTCTCTAACTTGAGCGTAGGAACTATTTCTAGAAGTGCAAGCTTAGTGAAGTAAAAATCTGTTTTTCTTTTTGAATATAAAACTGAAACTGAAGTACTGCCATGAAATTAAGGTAGTCCAGAGGAATACAAAGAATTTAGTAGTCTTTTTATACTCTTGTATTTAAACAAATCCATTTTCAGTGTCGTGGTAAAAACAGTTTGGACTATAAACAGTTTCTGAGACTTTGTGGTATGTGAAGTAAAGGCTTGTCTGTTTACTTTTGGTTTAATTCCCATTAGAATTAAATGGACCCAAATGAGCTTCTGTGGGAGTCAGGATAGACTTTTAGAAACATAAGTGAGAAGGCCAAGATCTGGTCTTGTGGACAGTTTTAACTGAGTCATAGGCTTACAAATTCTTGTTTGTTTGCTTTTCTTTTTTTTTTTTTTTTTTCCTCAGAGTGTATATGAAATTTTAAAAAATTACATGTTTTCTCACTTCATAGTAATGTTTCTGTATTTAATTATGGCAAATAATAAGGAACTGTGAAATTGTCCTCTTAATCTTGTATTCCTTCTTGTCTTCAGTATTAGGATTTTTTTGTAATGTTTACAAAACTTTTGCTTAATTACCTGATTCCATTATCTGATATGTACACAGCAATAAAAAAATCATGATAAGCACTACCATTTTTTTTTTGTCTTTACGTATCAATAACTCCATGATGAACATAAACGAAAACTGAACTGGTTTTGAAAATATTATGTTACACTGGTAGCCTTATTATGGTTCTTTGTTTTTCTTAATATTGAGAGATATGCAATCTTACAGGTTTTGCAGATTTTATATGCTGGACATATTCTGTAAGTTTGTGTCCTCATGAGTATGATTTAATACGTTGTTGATAGTAATGTGATCTGTGATAGTAAAATGGATTTTTGTGTTGAACAGATTCAGTTCGTCTTTTTTAAAGGTAGAAATTAAACTAGTTAAGAAATGGAGTTTCTGGAAAACAACACAAAACAGCTGTACCTGCAATGTATTTTGTTAAGAGGATTTATCAATAATCTGCATATGTCTATTTTTATAGTTCTTTTGATGAAAAGTTCTAGTGTATTGTCTTCATAACGTAGTTACTGCAGTACTCTGCAGTAAAGCTTTCTAATATTAACTGGAAATTAAATTTTAGGGTTTTTCTTTTTCGATTAGCTACTTTCTGATTAAAAATAGAGAATACCAAGGATATTTTCATGTCCAAATTACCTTTCTCCTTCCAAGATAGAAATGTTCCATGATAAGGTATTCTGGTCCATTGCAGGATGTGAGTTCACTTTGGTTATGCTCAGCGTGTTTTCCAACTTGAGCGGCAAGCAGATGCTCGCCACCAAAGAGCTGTGGCAGCAGGAAGCTTACAGGACCTTTTGGACACAGTAGGCTCTGGAGATGCTTTGTGCGGCAGATTGTGGCTGCGCTGGTGCCCGGTGCCCCTTTCTGCTTTGGGAGTCGCGTTGCGCTGCCCGGCAGCGCAGCCGCCCACGCTCGCTATGAGCAGGCTGGGCTGCTGCAGCTGGAGACACTGCGTGGAAAATGCTCTCGCTTGGAAGACAGACTGAGATCATTTCCAGAAGTATTTTTAAAAGAGAGTAGATCCCAGATTTTCAGGGGGAGAGGGGAATCCAGATGTGATGTTTGAAACAAGTACACAAGGCTTTTCATGTAATATTACTGCGTCTAGTGTAGTAACTGGAGTCACTTTCACATATGATGTCCTGCAATTGGCAATAAAAGTGTTCAGGATTGACATGATGTAATAGCCACGTGCAGTGCATGCACTTAGCATAAGAAACAAGTCCCGATGTATTCAAGGCATGAATGTTGCTGCACCAAGTGCAATTTGCTTTCTTTAGTGTTGTTTAAATGTGACTGTTCTGACCATTTAGGAATTCTACCTGTATAATTTGCAAAATATCAGGAGTATAATAATTTTCCTCTTAAGTAAACAGCTATGTCGTGGTACATGTAGAGGATCTAGTGAACTGTTCTTTTATTTCCCTTTTTATTTTAATTCCTTCCTTCCATTGTTAAGTAGATGTTGAAGAATGAAATTTATCACTGACTGACTTTTCGGTGTAGTATCAAGTTTTTGATAATGTCGTGAAAATTAAAAGGTATCTTGCTGAGATAGAAGACATACAAGGGGAGAGAGAACAATCAAGTGGCACTGACTTGATTCCAGTGGGAGAGTTTTTGTTTATATACTTATTTGAAATATATGTTAAGTGCTTTTTTTCCCCTCAAAGCAATGGATTTATGATCAAAAAAGCAAATGGATATCTAAAATGGGAATGAGACTAACACTTTTGGGCTTAAATAGGAGGTAGTTAAGGCTGTGCATTAGTGCTGCAGATGGTTAGCAAAGGAGGATGCTATATAGAAATGCAATATGTGAGACTGAGGAAAAAGAGGGCTTTGTTTGGTTTTCCTAATGAAAAATTCTCCCTAATAAGAAATATCTGCGGTTTTTGATATTTTGGGGGTCACAGTAAGGCAGAAAACCTCAAATGCGGCAAGAGTAAGGAAACATGAAAGTTTCATGCAGTGTCTTGCAGTCCATTTTCATTATCTTAATAGTAGTAGCATTACAGTGAATCCAACTATCTGAAATATAACCTGTCTGGGGGTATTTAAAGTACTTTCTAAACAGCTTTTTTTTTTTTTTCTTTAACATTTCATGGATTGTTAGAGATTTATTCTTTACGATGTATAAGTGTTGTATCACAACAATCCAGATTATGGATATATGTATTTACTTTTTTTTCTCTTTGTTCCTTTTCATTCTGTCCTGGCTTCTGCTCTGCTTTTTTCTTCTTGTCTTTTTATGCTAGACTTGCAGCGTTTGCATACTAGACTTACTGAAATACCTCGTATTGCATTTAGAGCAAAATAAATTAAGACCTTGCAATTCAAGATAGTTCAGCTCTCTCGCTGGCTACACTTGTTAATATGTAGATACTTTGGCACAGGCAGACTGTTTATCATCTGTCCGACAGCTGGTCAACGCTGCAAGCAAAACAGCACTTGGCTACTTGCATAACAATTCAAGAATCTAATATTTTCTCCCCAGTTAGACTTGCAACCTGTTTGGAATAAATATAACTATGGAATTTATCAAATTGTCTGCTTTGTTGGAACACAACTGTTTTCCTATAACTATTCATTTTCTTTAAAGGAAGTCAAGACTGTTTACACTTGAAGGGTGATTGAACAAATCTAGCACACCTGTTAACTTGAGTCAAGCCGGAACGCTTGTGAAAAAAGCCAGTGTTTGCTTCCTGGTTGTTGGGGAAAGATTCCACTTTCAGGTGAGTCTAGAAATAAGCTTGCTTCATACTTCTGCTTTTGACTTTTAGCAGTTGCAGAATAGAGTAAGCAGTAGTCAAAACTTTGGCTATTGTACATGTTGAAGAAAGTTTTTGAAGCTCCTGCGTATTTTCCTTTGTGAAGTGTATGCATTTGACAGAACTTCTCATCAGCAGTTCCCAAGAGAACAAGTGCCTTACAGAAGGTGAAAATGAATGTTTTTAAAGATCTTTTTTTTTTTTTCCTGCCTCCCTTAACTTCATATTATTATCTTTAAACTTTGAGGACTTCCCCCCCTTTTTTTTTTCTCCTCCCCTCTGGTTGAAGTATGTGTCATTCATATTTTCGTATTTGATCTCATATGGAATCACGAAGCTTCAGTTCATGGTCCTGTAGACTGCAACCTTAATTGCTTGGAGGCACCATTTGAGGAAGCAGTGTACCCTGAGGACACTATGTCCTTAAAAGGATAGGAAAATTGAGTCCTTAACATGATATGGTTTCTGTCCAAGAAGTGTATGCAGGTCCTGCTTAAATAAGAACACCAAACACTCCATGTTTCTCACTGTACCTCTCTTCCTCATATCCTATACATACATGAAATGACAGTCAGAAATAAGTATGTTACACCATCTAACAATATTGTAAAGGTGGTCTCCAGCTAAAGCTTTGTTTAATAACAACCTGTCCTGAACATGAAAAATACTAGCTGTTGGGTCACTGATATGATGAACTTGTGATTTATTCTCATGCAACTCTTGGAGGTTGATAGGACTGAATTATGCTACTGAGCCATATTCCATTACTTTTGTAATACTTCATTGGAAAAAATGAGTCAAATAGTTTGAAGAGAGAAAAACTTGCGACAGTGTAAAGAATAGCAATCAGTGTAATTTAACATTTCTAATGCAGGAATAAATAATATGGTGATAATTTGAAGAACCAACAGATGTTGATAATTTGTAATTGTTTAATATTTTCCAGGTTATCTGACATGGTGGTTTGAAAAATCAAACTTTCCGATATGAACAAAGTAAAAACATCATCTGAGAAAAGGTAAATTTAAAACCATAATAATTGCTCAAAGTTGAGCTATTTGAGTTTTGTACAGAAGCAGTCAACATCTTAACAAATCGTATTAACTTACGAGTCCGCAGTGAGATGGTGACAGTTGAGGTCCTGAAACATCATTTCAGAGACATCAGAGAGAGTTCAATATTGTATATCCTAAGTACTTTCACTTGTAGTAAATAACTGGGCAAACTTAAGATTTGTAGATATTACAAACTTAAGATAGTATTTATTCTATCAGAACATTGCAGTGTGCTTTTGACTAGGAAGTATTGAGCAAGCTTGATTTCACTGCTTTTTTCTTTTCACTGATAATTTTACAACTTTCTCAGATGCTGGCAAAACATAATATTGTTGCTGCTGAAGGGGTTAAAGGACAACTTCAGGCAATTTACAATGAAGCCACAACTTTGCAATGCATAAGATGTGTATCGGTCTCCAGTGATCTTGCAATCCAACATACAGCTAAGCAAAAACAACCATGAGATTGCATAATATACCAAGAGTTTTCATGATATTTTCATGGGAACGTAATTTAACATTTTAACATTCATAGAAAAACTATGAGATTATCTACGGAAGGTAAATGTATTAAACTTCAGAAAATTACCAAATTACTTTCAGTTTTACTTTTTGAGTGTTAGAACAGGTTGAACCATCTTGTTTCATCCAACTGTCTAGCTCGATGTTTTTAATATTATCTTGAGGCAAAAACAGTATTGAAAAAAAGAGGTTATTTTGGCCATACTGTTAGATATCTGAATTGCCAGTCTTTTTCTAAATATATGAATAGATTTGTGTGCTGGATTTGCTTCACTGTAGATTTATTGCACACTGAGGAGGGTTTTCAAATTTGTGCAAAGATTATATCATTCTCATTTTAAATGCTTGTATTCAAGGTGTTCTTCACTTTCGTTGACTGTAAGAAGGGAATTTTGTTATTAGAAGCTGTTTGTGCTTGGTTGAAAAATGGTCCAAAAGAAATAAGAAACGACTAAACTTTCTCTTTAGGGTACCTCAGTTTCTTAAGTGAGCAAGCTCTTCGTTAGCAACAGATGATTATAATCCATGAAGTACGTTAGCATAGAGAGTATTAGCTTTCTGCAGAGTGGTTGCTTAAATGTCATGTATTCTTATTTAGTTATTGAGTTAAAATTAAAACTCCCACTCCTGCAGTATAGAACAGTTTTTCATAAAGTCTTTTTTTTTTTTTTTTTTTTTTAAATGTAAATTACGGGAAAGTTGAAGTGTCCAGAGATAATTGATTAACTTCCTATTGGCTCTCTGCTGTTTGAAGACAACCGATATCTTAGGAGATAACTGAAAGAGAAAAGGTTTTGAAAAGGTTTTTTGTGCACAACAAAGCACAAACACAAACAAGAGACTTTAATGAAAATGAGACCTCTACCTAATTATAATAGATCTTGATATGTTTATTGTAGCCATGCAAGCCGTGTGATGAAATATTTGAGAGACCTTTTTGCTTTGTGGGAAGCAGTCAATCCCTGGTGCATGGAAGTACTGACAGACTGTAAACAATTAAGCAATTTCAGGGGAAATAAATACAGTTGGGAAACTGAAAATTTCTGATGACTTCCTCCATTTGGCTGTAATCTGTTGGAAGACTTTTTGAAAAATGAACAACCTAAAACCATTCTAAAGATAAGGGAATTTTGGTATACTGCCATGGCAACCATTAGCTGTTACCTTTCCCATCAGACTCTAGAACTGGCCCCCTGTGAGCAGACACTTGAGAAAGGGGTAGGATGCAAATATTTAGTGTAGTGAAAGTACTACTTAGTAGTAGTAATGGTACTAGTAATGGGGAGTGTGGATCTGGCAGTTCTTCGGAATCAAATTAAAAACAATACTTAAGCCTCTTGGGAAATAGTAGGACCAGGTAAATGTCCCAAACATGAGAAAATACTCTTTTAATTTGAGGAAGTACTCTTAATCAAATGGGAACCTTGAGAGTTTTTTACTCGCTATGTGAGCATTGGCTTCCTGTTTCAGTGTGTCAGAGCTTTCCCAACTGGTGATGGGAGGAAATCCGCAGAGCCATCTGGCCATTTAGAATCACACTGTGCAAATTGGGCAACAGGAAGTGATGGCTAGTTTGTTTGTTTCATGCTATCTGTAAGTTGGTGTTGTAAGATGTACTTAGAGCTACAGTATGATCAGATTTTGGAAAGGAAAAAGGATTTGTTGCCTGTGCAGGAAATAAGTCTGGTAGACTTCTGCCTCAGGATACTTAAACAAAAAAACTGCCTAAATGAACTGATGAGAGCTAGGTTAATTACTGAAAGATTGAGACATGAGAAAGGTAGTTACTCTGTCAGTGGGAGTTGGGGCGAAGGCGTAATTGTAGGTTGGTCAGCTTTGCCCAGACAGGTTCTGGAAGAACAAACCAGGCAGGCAAGGCTACTGACGCCAGTGAGAGCTGAAGTTAGTCTTGAAAACATCTAATTCTCTCTGAGGGACAGAGGGTAGCAGATTTCATAAGCAGGGAAGATATATTAAAACACTATATACTTTATTTTAGTAAAGGTTAGGCACTGTGTATGAAGTTGCCATAGGTAGCAAAGGCTACTGCTCCGTTTTAAATTACTGTAAGTGTAAAACTCATTATATAACAAAAGAACAGTTGCTATTGACTGTCAAAAGGAAAGAAAGTACAATGTTATTTCTGTGTTATTTCCTGGTTTGGGTTACAGTCACTGTTTAAAAAGATTTTAAGATTTAGCTACTGATCCAAAAGAAGAAAGAATGTTTGTTAAAACTGTAGATAACTTCAAGTTGAGGAGACTTACAGAGGCCAAATAAGAATTCAGAGTTCCTGTGAACCTAAGTATTTGACAGTGGTATGCACAAGGTGCCATGAAGGACAGCAGATAATCACACGTATGTGTGGGGGATAGGATTAGGGATAGTCAACCTAAACGGCAATGATGAAAGCTTTTCAGTGGAGGTGTATTAAATCTCAAAATAAAGTTCTGAAATCACCATTTTTTTGCATGCCTTAAATGAAGAGTTGGGCAGGTGTCCGTCAGGAAGAGCAGATTTAGCCTTGATCTGACTTTGTGGAGGGTAGTAGTATAGGTGACCTTGTGGAGTTCCTTCAGTAAGTACAGACTGCTCTTAGGAGGCTTTAAATTGAGTGAGCTGAAAAATGTGAAATTTTCTCTTAGTATTAAGAATGGTTCCTCACACAGGTTTAACACAATCCATGTCTATAAAAGGCTGGCCACAATGTTCTGAGTATTTATGTGGAGTTCAGGAATGTCACTAGTTGAAGAGAAAATTTAGGGCCGAGGAAACACAGATTTGACTGTGCCATTCTGATTATTTCCTAGGCTTACCTACCTGTTGTTTTGAAAATACTGACTTACATGGCTACTGGTTACCTGTGTTTTTTTAAAAGAGACATCTTCTAAATTTGGACTTGGGATGGTTTATTTAATATAAATATCATGATTTCTGATTTGTGTTTTGCTTTTGAGCCAGATAGTTTGTGGCAGTGTGTGACTTGCTGGAGCAGCATCAATCCAGGCTGTCTGCTATCATTCTTGTCCTACAGCATTTTTGGTTTCCAGGGCAGGCATTGAAAGCTGTCTTAGGTATGCTGCTATGTGTATTAGTATAAAATCTTGATAAATAAGGATATAACTCCTTCTGTGAGAAGAGAACTCATCTCCTAGCTTGGAAAAGCAAATTAGGACTTCGAATTATGCTTTGGTATGGATTCTGGGCTGGTATCATTTTCAGAAACACTTTACTGAATGTTTTGGAGGCGTGCAGTGGTATTTGGCAACAGCTCTGTTGAAAGACTTATTGCATGATGACAAGCCTAAAATCATTCTAAAGCTAAATGAATCTGAATGCTGGTATTTCTGTTTAGCTGCTACGGTGAGGACTTGTTACTCTTACTAGAAGTTCTAGCTTTAAACTTAGGAATTAAATTGTTGGCATTCAGAAGATACTACTACCTTAGAGTGGGATTGACTTAATAAAGCTTTTACTATGTATGGAGAGATTGTATTAGCAGAATTCTGTATGAGACTTGTTTTCAAATTTTGCTTCATGAATCAAGGATCAGGTTTTCTGTGAAGTTTTAATGTCACTACTGAGAGTTTTGTCCTTTACAGAAGCTAAATACTTCATTTGTGTTACTAAGAGTCATCTTTGTTTTTATGTTGGGTTGTTTCCAACTTTCGGATTGCATTAGTGCAACACCAATGATAGAACGAAATGAAAATTACAACCCATACACATATATACTTACAAAAGTAAGAGTGGCATCGATTAATTGAACCCTGTTTTGGTTTTATACCTGCAGAAGATAGCACCCTTTGGAAGCTTGTCAGTTTGGCAACTATTTGTGCTTTCATTAAAATCTTGGGTTTATTTTGGATGGTTTCAGTGAATAGGTGGGCAAGTGGAGATACACAAAACTGATATTGACAGTTGTGCCTTTATATTATGCAGCCTTCTTTTGAGAGGACTGAAAAGTTTACTCCTTATGAAGGAAAGCAAAATTCAGGCAACCAGAACAAGTTTTCAGAAAAATGCTTTTAAATCTAAAGAAGATGGTGTATTTATTTCTCACAATAAAATTGTTTCTGTTTAAGATTTGTAATTAACATAACCTGTTTGTACTGCTAGAATTTACAGCTTCTGTGCATTCTCTTTAAGATGAAGTTTTTTGGCTATGCTTTTCATTTAGATGTCAGTGTGGAAAAGTAAATGGGGTGCAAGGAGTTTCCCCTGCTGCTGTTGTAAAAGTTTGTTTTTACAACAGAGTGACCTTAGCTGTCAGCAACTTCTTTCCCTGTTCTTAATGCTTTTGTCCACATGTGAGCTAATTCTTTTAGCAGAGTTAACTGTAATTATGAAATCTTTTCACAGATATAAAATACTGTTCAAGGAAAAGTAATTCCTCATTTTTATAAACAATGTTGACAGTATTTAATAAACTAATGTCATATACTTAAGTTTTATTGCAGATAGCCAGAACTTTTAGTATATGGCCAAATGAATTATTGATGATTATTTCAGTGTTGTATTACAAATGAAAAAAAAAAAAAACTGGGGCAGTTGCTCCTTGTGAATCATTTCCTCTAGTAGTTATCATTTAAATTATAGTCATATAAAAGTTTGTCTGAAAACAAATTTCATGTAGCCATGTGACTATGAAAGGGTTTTATAATTGGAGAACAAGTAAAGCAATTTCTGTATTGGTTTCATTTTGAACACTGTAAAGATTTATATATAAAAATGACCATGTTATCTGTTTGTAAAAGTGCCCCTTTGAAGATAGCTCCCTATGCTAAAATTCATTTCTAGGCAAGTTTGAAATGTTAGGCAAAATGCCCCTGCATTCAAATGGAATCAAAAATCTGATGATATCTTTGAGCACTTTCCTAAATTGGCCGTTCAAAAGTGATGTTTCTATTTGGTTTATATGTGCTCATTTGTTAAATTCTGGAATTTATATGATTTTCCTTCAATGTAGAAGGATCAGGCAATAAGACAAACAGTCCCTAGGACTACCCAGCTAGGCCTCAAGCAGGAGTAGCAAGTTTTTCTTGTAGGTCAAGTTTAATGCAGTATCCTCACACTTAACCTAGACTATATTCAATAGAAGTTACTCAGGCTGACATAAGTATTTGTACGTATGCCCGTGTCTGAGTTTTGTTTGTTGTAACCATTTTCTCTGTTTGTGGTTTCTCTGGGAGATGTTGTTACATATAATTAATCTGTTGCAATGTAGATTTTGTGCAATTTGTAAAGGTACCTGAACTGAAAAGAGTTAAGACTGTTTCCTTATCAAGATAAAATACAGAGGTGATTTAGCCACTCCCCTTACTCTGACCATGGGACTTCTCTTGCTGGTGGTTTTATTTTTGAGCTAGTGTTTGGTTTCACATCTACCGTGGATGGAAACATGAGCATAGGAAATCTTTCTTGCAGCGGTTCTGCCACTTCTCGGACCATGTCTCTGCTGTCACAGCTGGAGAAGATCAATTCGGATTCCTTAGCAGGAGAAGTAGAAAATGCAAGATATGTTACCGCAAAGATCCTTCATCTGGTTCAGAGTCAAGGTAAATATCTTAGCATTTTTGGTTTTTATGGTTCTGCTTTTGAGGACTCTTTCTTCTAGTTCTCCCTTGCCAGTGATGTTACATAGTATAGTATTTAATTACTCAGTCTGTATTTTATATTGTCAACAGCAATTATTTCAATAGTAACTCACAGTAAAAGAGTAGCTACTGTGCTACTATCACATTTCGGTACATTGTAACATATAATACAAGCCTACTGTAGTGAAAGCCTTAATACAGGAAGAAGTTTTTCTTCGTTTGCGAATCTGCATTTAAAAATTCACTCTTGAAAAGAATAAATATATTTTTTAAGGTGATTCTGGTATGCTGATCAACAGTGACTTCCTTCCACACTCAACTGACCCACTGTAAATTGCAGTATACATTTCCATTAACTAAACTAAAATTTGATAATATTAAAAAATTACAACTGTTTTTGCTCCTTTTCTTCCCCATCTCATAAAAGTGAGTTATTTGTAGTCTAGGTAGTTATTTTATTCACGCTGTCTTAAAGCTATTTTCAAGTTAAAATGATTAATATTTAGTTATATTTATTACTAGATGATAGGCAAGTCAATAATGAGGCAAATAGATTTATTTCCATCTATATAAATATAGAAATAACTTGCAATAAATTTGCTGCTGGAAATCTCAATATAAAATGTCCAGTGATTTTTCCTAGGATTCACAAGTTTGTGGAAGTGTGGAAGATAGATTTCTTTTTCCCCCGTTCACCCCTTCCCCAAGCTTAAAGAAAAAAAAAATTGAACTAAAAATAAATTTTAATGTCACTTAATTCAGTCTGTTACTTATCAATTTGTTAATGCTTTGTATGCCTATGTGCAGTTTTTAAATAGATTTTATTATTTCTAGCTTAGATTTTTGATCTATATAGCACTACTATTTTGTTTTTCTGCAAAATATATTAAAATAAAAATGATATCTTTCTGACTGGCAGAAAAAACTAGGAAAGAGATGACTTCTAAGGGTTCCACCGGAATAGAAATTACTCTTTCAACTTTAGAGGTAAAACATTTTAATTTGTGTGGTTTTGCGTGCACTGCAAGTTTTCATATTATCATTTGGACTTCTGTTAAATATGCTTTTATGTATCTTTTATTTCCAAAAGCTGTGTTTATCAAAGACCTGTAGTAGTTAAAGAGGATGTTTAAGGTATCATAAGCTAAATTACCTTAAAATGTTCAGTTCCTTATATTTATATATTCTAAGAGATTTTTTTGTGAACTGTTGTCTTTCGTTAACATACCATGCTAAGAACTAGATTCTGATTAGTTATGAGGATACTTTGGACTGTATAAGGGGATATTTAATTGTGTGCTATTGTCTGAGTTTCATTTAGTTCATCAGTAGCAGTCTCTATGAGCTTTGGATATCTTAAAACAGATGCTGTATTGTATAAATTAAGCACAAAAATTTCTTTTGATTACATTTCAGAATACAAGAGATCCTCAAACTACTTCAAATATTTTGAATATTCTCATTGAATTAGTCTCAGTTGGTAAGTTTTCACTAAGGAACAATTTGTAATATCAGTCATATTCTTCTGCAGACTCCTCTTTTCCTTTCCTGAAATCACTGATGCAAAATTTATATTGAACATGTTTCTTTGAAAGGTGATGTTTCAGGGTTTATGTTGTGTACATGTACAGTCCAACAATGTGTTTTAGTGTAGTTTGGTCAAATATGAGGAAAGCATAGGTGTTTAAGACTTTATTCATGATAATCATAGCATTAATATTTGACTGTTCTTTGTCTTCAAAAGTATCAGTGATGTTTTTGTTTGTTTATTTTGTTTTGTCTTTCCTAGGTGGTGGTCGAAGAGCAAGTGTCTTGGTTACTAAAGGAGGGACACAGATCTTATTGCAGTTACTTTTGAATTTCAGCAAAGACTCTCCACCAAATGAGGAGTTAATGGTGCTTCTTCACACCCTTCTTGCAAAAATTGGTCCAAAAGGTGATGAATACATGTTTGAGTAAAATGGCTTAGTATAGTTTTGTCACTGAAACTTTTTATTTTTTTTTCTTTTTCCCTTTTATTATTGCGTAAGCAGTTATGTAGTTAGGATTGACAGAGAAAATTATAAGGAAAAGTGAAACAGAGGGAAGGAAAGCAGTGAAAAATAAGGACATGCAAATATTTATGTATCCCTAGGAAAAAGTCATAGTTCTGATAGTTACGATAGTTTTAAAATTAGTTTGATTATTTTTTTTTTCTTTTGATATCAGATAAAAAGATTGGCATGAAGGCTAGAATTAATGGTGCCCTGAACATATCCTTGAATTTGGTAAAGCAGAACTTGCAGAACCATAGGTTAATATTGCCCTGTCTTCAAGTATTAAGAGTTTACTCGTCCAACTGTAAGTACTGCAGAGTGTTTTTTTTCTCTTCTTTAATACAGCAACAAAATTGGTAGTTGTGGTTCAAATATATGATCCAGATACTTGATTGCTGTTCCATGGTTAAGTGGCTGAGAATTTGAGTGTACTTGCTGTGTAGGACTGGTTTCTTTTTAGTGTACGTATATATGGTTATTTATTAAACAGTGTTGTTGAGTTTATGGAATCTTTGACTATTGCATTTGTGTAAATACTGATGAACCATTGTTCTGCAAAACCACTTCAATGGAAATAATTACTCTGTTACACATGTTCATGTTTTTTTTGTATTTTTAAATTTGCAGTTGCTAATTTAGGATTTAGTTTACATAGGGAATAGCTTTATTTCTTTCTTTAATCATTTTTATTACATTTATTGAAGTGTCTGACCTATTGAACTGATGTGCTTCCATAAAAGCTTAATATATTGTTCTTGCAGGTAGTAGGTAGTTGGTGAAAACAAATTGATTCTTCTTGTGCCTTTACTACCAGTAAGATACTCTTTGAGCTTTTTACTTTTTGTTTTCCTTTGAGCCCAAAATGTCCATTTAGCTTTTTAAATTAAATGATATGGAAAACAACCATCTTCAACAGAACGAATTTGCTGGTCAATAGAATTGTGTTTTCTGGACGTTTTCTGGACGTTCATATAAGCAACTAGGATTCATAAAGTCACAGTATTTGCATAATGTGGAAATTTTAATTCTGTAGCACCATCTAATAGTGAGGTAAAAAGCTTTTAAATTGGGGAAGTTATTACAGGTAGTTATGCAGTTTGATTGAAAACCTATAATGTCATGGAAGTGAGAGATTGAGGTAGGACTCTGACCTGGATTCTCTTTATTTTCTATACTTACTCTGTACAGAAGTTAATTTACATAGCTTATTACATTTAATCTTATTTACATAGTTTATTACATATTTTACATATTACATATTTTGGTGGGTAGTTTCACTTAAAATTGGTATGCTGCTTCTACTGGAATAGATTCCTGATTTTGATTTTATTCTGCTGTTGTAATATTGCTCCTAATGATGATAAAACTGCAATCTGGATTCAAGTAATGAGATGTATATATGTAGCATTTCTTATTTTGTAGGTAGTGCCTTGTTTAGTTGTTGTTATTCCTTGTTAGGAATGCATATTTCTGAACTCAGACAGGAATAATATTTCTGTGCATTAATAAGTAGTTTGCCTTTACAATGATTTTAACATACAGTGTGCTTTTTCTAAACATAAACCTTAGCACTATATGTTTCTTAACTTTCCCCCTCTGGGTTATTTTTATTATTTTTTTTCTTTGAGAAAATATTACGTACTCTGTAACTCAGGAAGAGTAGAGATAATACTTATTGTCATTTCTAAATTAAACAGTGAACACTTGGATTTCAGTTGCTTTTGGAACCTGTCTGCCCTGTTGCTGAAAGATAATAGCAGATCATAGAACCTCATAGACACTTGAAATTTAGAAACCATCCTGTCTTGATAGGCTGTGAGCTTTTAGGGAGTAAATCTCTTTTATGGTGTGCCTTAATAAGAAAGGAAGCAGAGCATGCAGGAGGAAGTAATAATTTCCTTTAGTTTATACTTAGAAAGTAAAAAAATGGTTTTTGTTCTTGAGGTTTTATTAGGACTGATATAAGAGTGCACTGTATGCAGAATGGTATTTGCTTATCGTTGTGCTTTTAAAGCCCAGAAACTCCTAACATCATCTGTTGAATATATCCATATCTTTTGTTTTTCATTCTACTTTATCTGAAAATAGATTTTTGTGTTTTTTTTTTTTTAATAATTTTCCAGCTGTAAATGCAGTATCTTTGGGAAAAAACGGAGTAGTAGAGCTGATGTTTAAGATCATTGGCCCTTTCAGTAAAAAGAACACTAGCCTTATGAAGTAAGTAAATCTTTTTAATATGGCAATAATATCTTTTAATGTAGAATGTGGAAAAGGTGTTGTGTGTGTGTGTATATATATATATGTATGTATGTGTATATGTAGATGCCAAAACTTCTTAAACTGTAGTACAGCTTGTTTTTAATTGAAGAGAGGTTGTAAGGAGAACTACAAATCTTGTACAGTAACACAAAATATCTGGATACAGATAGAGTGCAGGCAAGGGTAGAAGGACAGAGGTGTGATGTGGTGTGTTGTGTGTTTTTTTTTTTCGTTTGTTTGTTTGTTTTTATTTGTCTCTAATATTCCTGTGTGGAATTCAGAGCTGTCCCCAAATAAATCAGAACAAACTGATCAAGGCAATCTCATCATTTTTAAACTCATTGAATTTAATCTCAGCTATCATTTGTGTTTCCACGGTAGCATATGTTGTTTTATTTTCTAATAGAATTTCCTTTGTGTTATACTCCCAAGCAGTTGTACAGTTTCTGAGAGTAAAAGCGTCCACCACATAAGGAATGTATGTCTAGGAGACTACTATGTGAATAAAAAATTTGACAGGGTGCCTTAAAGCCCTGCTTTTGACTTTTCCTGTTGTATGGGCAGTAATCTTAAGTTACTTAATTTTTAACTCATCTATCCTGTTCATCAGATATTTTTCATAAATGGTCCTGAATTACTACTTTTTGATAAAAGTCTTCTGCTTGATTTTATTGGAGTTAGCTCTAACAACCTTTTGAAGAGCATGCCCATGGGAAAGCAAATTTTCATCTGTCCACTGAAATAATACCATGTTGCTGTATTTTAAGTTCTGTACAAATTAGTGTTCTCCTATCTAAATATTGCACACATGATTTCTGGACTGCTTCCAATTAAAAAAAAAACCCTCCTCCCCCTTTAACCCCTAGCTAAAATTAAACTTATGAACTTAGTATTCCATGATGTGAGTAATCATGATATCCTTGTTTATGGTGTAAGATCAGATGTGTGAAGTCTATCTTTACATAGACGATAAAAATAAGTGTATAGGTTATTTAGTTGTATATCCTGAAACAGTTGAGGCAAAACCTTTTTATACAAAAGAGTTTATACGGATCATTTTGTATGTTCATTGATCATCATTACTTTTAAGCACATTCAAATAATACCAGTTTTAACCATTTTTAGAAAGTGGACACACTTTCTAAAGTGGTGTCCGTTGTTTTACAGTAGCAGCTTATGATGCTAATGCAAAAGCAGGCGTTTCAGAGATGTCTACTGTTGAACATGATTCATAAATGTTACATTACCACTGGTCTTTTTTTTTTTCACAAAAATGTTCGTATAGCCATTTTATGAATTTTTAAACTTTCATTTGAATTTCATTGAATTTCAGATATTAAAGAATAGTATTTCAGTAAAGCTGAAGTTTTAGAGAAAAGTCTGATATTGCACAGCTGGGAAAATAGAATAGTTATCTGATAGTTTTATGTCTGAAGAAATCTTAAAATGCTAAACTTTTTATATAGTTGTATGGTGTTGTACATGAAGTTTACCAACTGTCTTTTTTTTTTTTTTATCTTGACAGGGTTGCTTTAGACACACTTGCTGCATTGCTAAAATCAAGTAAGTTTTTGAGTATAAGATACAGTTGTTTTACTTGAGATGTGTATGCAAGTATATATAATGAAAAAAAGTAAAACTAAGTCTGTGACCCAAAGAAGTTCAAGTTCAGGAAGCTTTGAATTAAATCTGTGGTTTCATCTGCATTCCCTTGTGCTTTTTGTATGTGTAGATCTGTATTTAATAATTAGTTACTATCTCTTCAGTTATGCAGCAGAAAGGCTGTCCAGACTCTGCAAAACTGGTATGGATGCAACGTGGGGAAATGCCTTTTACACATTGCTGCCTTTCAGTAGTGGTCACCTATGTCTTAAATGCTAGGCATCTTTCTTACACACGTATCTTACATGACCAGAAATACCAGTGGGATGACAGGAGATAAAACAAGGGTATATTTCCTAAAGTTGGATCTGTTGGGCTGCCTGTGGAGTAGCATGGGTGGGCAGGCACTGGCTGTCTGAGACGGGAGCAGTGGATCCCAACAGACATCACAGCTGCTGTCCTTTGGCCAGATTTAATCCACATAAAGAATGATAAACCCATTCTCTCCCAACATTTTTTTTTGTAAAAAATACAGCATTTTGAGTAATTCTAGTGCAGTTAGAGCAGAACTGAAGAATGATGTTTTTGCAGAAGGCCGTTTCAGAAACATAGTAGAAAACTCCAGTTTATATAGAGTGTCAGGCTTTCTCAAGTTTCTTGAGAAACTGAGTGATTCTTTATCTTAAAGATTGTTTATTTACTCATTTGGAGGTTTCTTCTTGGGAAATCTAGAAAAGGAACACTTTAGAATGGGGTACTGGTATTCTGTAAATTTTTTTTTCTCCTCTGTATTACTGAGGAAATAAAATGTTAAAAAGTGTGCAAAGAAAGCAGCATCTCTTGACTACTGACATGTTCGAATTTGTTTTGAGAGATTTAGTGCTGAGAGATTTTGGCCTTCACTCTCCTAAACTTTTATGTTGCTTTTTCATAACACTGTCGATCTCTGGTGTGTGGAGTTCAGTTGACATACTGAATTTTCTACATAAATTGGTAGATTTTTAAACTAAATCTCAACTAAAACAAACACATGGTTGGTGTATGTAGAACTCTTTCTTTTTTTTTTTTTTTTGGGGGGGGGAGGGGAAGTAAAACTTTGAATTGATGGAAATTTTGCCTAATTTCAAATATCTCATTCCATTGGTAGCTTTATTTGAGGAGAAAAGAGAGAGTTAGAAAATCAATGCAAACTATAATTTGTCATTTTGTAGTTTGATAATCAGAATATAATGATTTTAATAACTTTAAGAAAAAAATCATAATTTTGAGTTTGTCAGAACTAGATTACTTGTGGGATTTCACCTGTTCTACACTATTTGGGATAGAAACAGTTTGAGTTTATTATGTTTGAGTGACAGCTTCTGCAATGTTATGTGGAGTATGAGCAGTATAACGGTTTGTTTCAAGTCTTGTGTTTACACAATGCGTATGGGCAGTGATGGAAATGTTATAAACCCTTTTTATCCCAAAATTTTCTAGCCTGAAGAATATCTTATGTTTACCTCTTTTGGTAAACCATGCAACAGTATCCTGAGGAATGAAGGATACAGTACTGGGCTCAATCGTGTGTTTATCTCTAATGAGTGTAGTATTTCTTGTTTCTGTTCTCTTGAAAATGGTATTTATAGACATAATTTTGTATATATAGAAAAGATAGTAATGCAAATGCAAAACAAATAGCATGAGGACGTCATGTTGCTGCTTAAAAAACACTAATGTGATTTTTGTGTGGCACATCCAAATTTACTATTTATTGATGTGTGCTATGGGTGTGCTTTTGACAAAAGAGTAACTAAACATTTTTAGTTCTCATTTTTCAAAACAAATTATGTCTAAAACAGGCTTTTACTTACAAAAACAGTTCAAAATTACCAATTTTAATGCATTTGCCACTGTGGAGCAAGAATGATCGGAAATATATAAGTTTGTGATAACAAGGTAGAAGTATTACAGATTCAGAATATTTTGCATATTATATATTTTATCTGCAGGCATTGACATAGAGAAGTCAATTCTATTATAGGCAATAATAATAATGTTCCTAATTGGGATATGGAGTTATGCAAAATTTGTGTGTGGAGGGAGAGGTACAATACCTGCCTTGAGCAGCTGGAAGAGTTTAAATTAGATGTTTAGTGATGCTAACAGGATTGAGGAATTGCAGGATTTTAGGAAATGTCTAGAAAATACAGAATCATATTTTACAGAGTTTTTGTATCTATGTCAATGTAAAACTGCTTCTGTGTCAATGTAAACCTGCTAAACATGGCTGAAATATTTTTTCAAAGGATAACATGACTCAGTAAGTTGATTTAAAAGAAATTAAAGTACTGATTTGGAAACCATGCTGAAAGTATGACAATAATTTTGCCCTTTCACCATTTTCAATTTACTGTTTTCCTTTTTTTTTTTTTTTTTTTTTTTTTTTTTTTTTTTTTTATTAATAGACAAATGCCAGGAGAGCAGTATACAGAGGATATGTACATGTGCTGTTGACAATTTATGTAGACTGGCATCGTCATGATAGTCGACATAGATACATGCTGATACGTAAAGGCATTTTACAATGCATTAAAAGTATTACAAACATCAAATTAGGAAGGAAGGCATTCATTGATGCCAATGGGATGAAAATTCTTTACAACACTTCACAAGTAAGTCTGTCTATATTTTTGTTTTGTTGCATTTTAAGCTTTAAAATATTTTGTGACATCAAATTTATCATTACTAGTTTATTAACCACTAGTGCTTTTTTTGATTTGGAGTTATGCATGATGTTCTGTAATTGATTGAAGTGAAATAAACGGGTATAGCATGACATTAATCTTCTTTTGCTGTACCCGCTGTGGGAGGAACTGCTGAGTTGCTGAAAAATCATTAATGGTGTATATACAGTTTTTGAAAAAAGGTGAATTTGAGTTCCTAAAAGTTCCTGTGATCTCAGAGAAGACATAAACAAAATTTCTTTTAAGTAGCAGCATAAAATACTTCAGTGAATTTAAAAAAAAATATATAAAACAAATGCATTATGACTTTTGGCTTGAGATCTTTTTCTCTGTTAATTCCTGTTAATAGGAGTGCCTTGCAGTAAGAACTCTTGATCCACTTGTCAACACATCCAGCCTGATTATGAGAAAATGCTTTCCTAAAAATCGTCTTCCTTTACCAACTATAAAAAGTGCTTTCCATTTCCAACTACCAGTTATTCCGGCTAATGGTCCCGTGGCTCAGCTATACAATTTACCTCCTGAAGGTATGGGCATTTTACTAAGTTTTGTCTCTGAATTAGTCTAACTTAATTTTTAAAAATATTACTATATTTTATATTTTCATATTATATATATATATATATAAACTTAAATATGCATTTGTATATTTTTCAATATAAACTAATATAAAAATAAACCAGGAGCTGAAAAGCTGAAAAGTGATTTTCATTTAAATGTCACATGAAAAGCGTAAGCTGTATATATTCACCTTCAAACTTAGTTTTTGTTTGTTTGTTCATTAGTTTTAACTCAAGACATAGAAGAATGTGTGTAATTCTTTGGTTTCTTTCTGTTAATTGGTAAACTGGATGTACTGAATTTAGTTTAGCATCTGCTATTTAAGGCATTAGTGTTTTACCATTGTGATTATTTCTTCGTCTGTGTGATGCAAAGTAGAGCTGCTTACGTGAGCTGTTGTAGTCTCTTAGGTAATGTTAGTCAGCAAAGCATTATCTTGGTGCTTTGTAAGAAGAGGATTCATCTGATTGTGATTTCCTCTCATTATTTTTGGATGATTCATGATTTTTCAGCTATTTTGAAACAGTATTTGGGTAAGCAACCTGTGAAGAGGTGAAACTGCACTTTTAGTATCATATTTGTGATATATTCTCAAATGAAATATCATAATCTGAAAGAAGACAAGTGTATGTTTGAAATTCATGCAAGATAGCGTCTATATAAACACTGTTTATATTCTGTCTTGTAAGTAGGAAATAGATTTTGAAGCCTGTTCTAAAATTCACAGAAACTAAATTTCTCCTTCCTGCAATACTTTGATGCTGTAATACTTTTATAGAAACTTCACTGTTGAAATGCTGTTATCATTTATCAATCTAGTTTTTAATATATAAACACAGAAGCATTAAAAAAAAGAAATAGGATACATCTCTTCTTGAAATTTCTCTTTAAAAGGTGGAACAGGTATGAGTCCTGTCTGGATATAATAAAAGTATGATTTCATGTAATTAGCACTGCAAAAGTGTAGTCATTCTGAATACTTTAGCAAATCAGTATATTTTGTTAATGCCTTATGTGGGCCTTCTACTTCTATTGTACTGTAAACCATTTGTTTATGAAGAACCTGTGATATTTTGAGGAAAAGATTAGATTTGTCACTAATAATTAGCACTTCTATCAGAATGACTTTCTAGTTCCCGCACCTACATATCAGAAAGTGGTTTTAGCCCACTACTCATCAGTTGTTGTGTAAGCAAATTTTTTTTTGTTGTTGTTGTTCAAAGTATTACATTGATAAATAGGGTTTGGTGATCTAATCCTTTCTCCACTTGTAGGAAGTAGCTTCTTTCTGTCTATATTTGGTGTTCCATATCTGGCTATATTAAGCAGTTAAAGACACTTAGAGTGGTATTTTGTTTGTTTCTTTCTTTTTCTTCTTTTTGTCCTGTACATTACTATTTGATTTAAGAAAAGCTGTCTCATTTGTGTTGAGCTGAGGCTGTTCTGGCATGTTCTGGTGCTGAACTGCAGGCTTGGCACATCTAGGTTGTTAAACCTTTCTGATAGCCAGTTACTATTTTGGAGTGGGCAGGGGAATGGATTTGTAGCATTGAATTTGCAGTATTGCCAAACAATCAGTTAGTTTTATAAATGTGGTACTAGATACTAAATCTTATTGGGTTTCACAGGACTTCGAACTAGTTGAGTTTGCCTTTTTTCAGTTGGTAAGTGACAAATGAATAGAATTGGATGACTAGATAAACATTTTTGTTGTTGTTTGAGCTTATATATTATGTAAAATTTTATAGTCTGCCTTAGAGAAGGTTTTTTTTTTTTTAATATTGCAGTGGATGATGTAGTGGATGAAAGTGATGACAATGATGATGTTGAAGCAGAATCAGAAGTTGAAACTGAAAATGAAGATGACAAGGACCAAGATTTTAAGGTTTGTAGGAGATGAAATTGTGCCTCACTTCGGTCTTCTGATTGTCTGGTCTTCAATCATGTATGCAGCTGTATGATTTAAATATAAGTAGAGTATCACAGAATCACAGTAGCACAGAATCACTGAATGTTTAAGCTTGGAAGGGACCTCTAGAGATCATCTAGTCCAACCCCCCTGCTCCTGCAGGGACACCCAGAACACGGGGCACAGGGCGGCATCCAAGTGGGTTTGGAAGATCTCTGGAGAAGGAGACTCCACAACCTACCTGGGCAGCCTGAGCCAGGACTCTGTCACCCTCACAGAAAAGAAGTTCCTCTTCACATGGATTTGGAACTGCCTGTGTTGTAGTTTACACCCATTACCCCTTGTCCTGTCACTGACTACCACTGAGAGTATTAGTGAGGAGGTTCTCTTAAAAAAAAAAAAAA